TAAAAACTTTTTGACAAATCAGTAAAAACAACAACCGACAGTTGAAAACCTGGTATCAATTCGAATAATAGTTCTGGAGGTTATAATTATAACCAGTAATAAATACAAGCCAATTTATTTTGCCCTTAGAAAGTCGCCCATCTGTCAGTACCAGTTGATTTTCGTTTTGATGATGATGGACTAATGCACTTTTTAATCTAATTTTGAGAACTTGTTTGCCCTTATTCCAAACTGATGTTACATCGCGTGACAAAAATTATGTTGAATAATAATGTACACCAACCTACACAGCTTAAAGAACTTGAATGTTTTATATATTTTGATTTCAAATAGTTCAAGACAGCTAATACGGAAGTACTCACCCATGGTACAGCAGTAAATTTGGAAATAGCTTCAGGGTACGAAATGAAAGCTAAGCTAGTTCCATCCGCATGTGAAATAACTTCACTGGGTTCAACATTCATTTCGTGAGCTAGGCTTCCTAATATTCCAAAGATGGTTACACCAGATAACAAGGAGGTGAACGTATCCAAAGTTGTTATGATCAAAGCATCCCTGCAAACAAAAGATATGATTTTGTCCAATCGGAACATTACTCCTGAAATCCAAATGCTGCCGAGAATATCCAAGAAGCCTCCTATATTTTCGAGTTGTGACTTTCTCATGACGTATATTTCTTTTAAAAAATGATCAAATTTTCGTTAGAACACATACACCAAAGACTTGAAATGACCGAGAGATTAGATTTCAGGAAAATCTGAAAAATGCACCATTTCAAATTATGGTGAATGTACCATGCATGGTGTACAGTTTCTATACCATGCACATTCACCATTTCTATCATCATGAATCGGGCACGCATCATTCCGAGCACCCTTCTAATTTCTATGTAGCTTTGCGCAAGGACATATGCAATTAAAAGAATTTATCCGGAAGCTCGAAATCTGATAACTACAAGACGGTTTATAACCAACCTAAACACTTTCAAATATGAAGTAAAGACACCATTTTGTTCAGTAAGGGATACTTAATGTAAGACTTACAACTTATGAATTTAGTGTACTTTTTGTCAGCTTATTCTATTTTCTCTTTTTAAACATATCATATGTGTATGTTGACATACCTTTATCAACTGTAATTTTGCATTTGATTATTCCCGGACATAGAAAGATTATTCTACTCTGTCATGTGCACCTCCCTTGCACTCACACCTTTTTCCTGAATATGCTGTTTTATGTTTCCCTGACAATCGATAGCAAATTTAAACAGGAGGACTCTTCGTCAATCAAAAATCATTTACGTGTTACAAGGTCAACCTATGCTGACCATCTTACGTAAATTCACTAATAAAATTTCATTTGAAAATAATCACTTGAGTAGAAAATGAATATATACAGGGTGTCCGCAAAGTTGGGGTTTTCCTTTACACGACGTGTAGATGTTGAAAACATAAGCAATTTTTCTTAGTACCATATACACCAATGTCTTAAGGGAACCGAGATAAAGGGCTCTGCAACATCAAAAATATCTGAGTACCGTCCTGTAGCGGCGACACCCCCCCTTGGTACTACGACACTAGCTCAACCCGACGACAGAACTGGGTCGGGGTCAGTGTGTCAGGTCAGTATGCAACCTTCGACCGACGGTTAGGGTCACGCGTGTAGAGGTAAACGAACCCGAATAAACGATTGCGTTTCAAAAAACAACAAGCACTAGAGACGTGGCTAGAGAAGTGTAAGTATCAAAAACTAAAGTGTGGCAAACGCTGCGTGAAGAGGGGCTGTATCCGTTTCACGTCCAACGTGTACAAGCCCTTCAACCTGACGATTTTCCAGCAAAAGTGCGGTTTTGTGAGTGGTTGTTGCATCAACTGACAATAATCCGGACTTTTTGAAGTGCTTATTGGTGACAGACGAATCTACGTTCACGCGTAATGGGGTGAATAACTTTCGCAACACTCATGTTTGGTCAGTAGAAAATCCGCACGCTGTCCGTCGGGCACATTTTCAACAAACATTTTCGGTGAATGTTTGGGCTGGCATGGTGAACGGTATGCTCATTGGACCATTTATTCTCCCAAATCGATTGGACGGGATGCAATACCTAGACTTTTCACGCAACATTTTGCCTTCCTTGTTAGAAGATGTGCCATTAAGTGTAAGACAATCAATGTGGTTTCTGCACGATGGACATATTTGTTACCTCTGTTCGTGGCCTGAACCACCGCCGGCGTCTGCTCGGTAGCGCATCAGCTGATTTCATTTTCTGTTGGAGCGGTATGCTTTCGGGCAGAGACGTACTTAGCCCTTCTCGTCAACTGGAGAGTGAGTACTTTTTCCTTTATTTTTTTTACTTGGTTGCCCTCGTTTCACTACACATTACCTTTGTTATTTCAAGGGTAGTTGTTTCTGAAAAGGAAAACCCCAACTTTGCGGTCACCCTGTATAGGTATATATTAAAAATTACAGTTAAAGGGATTATAAATGTTAACATGAAGTCTTCGATTTCTGAGTGGAGACTCGCAAACGGTTAATATATGTGGACAAAAAGTGAAAACCAAAAGGTTATGATATGAGGCGTTATTTGTATCTTTCTGTAGTTTATACAGGGTGCGTCATCTATTACTTTTTTCTATTTGAAAAATCAACACGCTTTTTACGAGGTGATATCGGATTTTTTTGTTGATAAATGAAGCTTGGTTTATGCCACTTATGTATGAAAAATAACATCAGTCATGTGACCTCCGCGGCTTCGTTTAAGGACGACATCCGAACATCAAAATTTTCAATGACTTTTCCAGAATAATCGGGTCTATGGTCGCAATTTCAGTCCGAATATTACGCTTTAGGTCTTACACTTTCCGGGGACCATTCGCATACACTTTTCCTTTCAAAAATTCCCAAAGAAAATAGTCAAGAGTTGTTAAATCGCACGATCTCGGGGCCCAACTGATATTTGAATGTCGTGAAATTATGCGCACTTGAAATTTGTGTGCAAAAGGCGATTGTATGGCGAGATGTGTGAGCCGTTGCTCCGTCTTGATGAAACCAAAGATCATCGGCACCAATACGATCCATTTGTGGCCACAAAAAGTCTGTTAACATGCCGTGATAACGTTCCCCATTGACGGTAATGGCCTTTTCTTCGGCATCTTCAAAGACGAATGGTCCAACGATGCCACCAGCCCATAATCCGCACCAAACAGTCACTTTTTCAGCATGGAGAGGTTGTTGATGATATTGGTGTGGATTTTCGACCCTCTAGAATCTGCAATTTTGCTAATTTACGTACCCGTTGAGGTGAAAATGAGCCTCATCAGAAAAGAGCACTTTGGCCGAAAATCCGTCTTCTCTTTCCAGCATCCAATTAACAAAAACACGCCGCTGTTGATGGTCTGCCGGCTTCAATTCTTGTGTTAGTTGGATTTTGTATGGATGGAGGTGTAAATCAATGTGGTTAAATCCGGCGAAAAGTGGTCTCACTAATTCCCAATTGTTGCGAACGGTGCCTAGTCGAGGTGGTTGGATCTTCTCGCACACTTTCACTCACTGCGGCTATGTTTCCACGAGTACGAGCTGGGCGAGCATGTTGGTATGGTCTACGACCTTCAGCTGAACCAGTATCCTCAAAACGATTAACAATGCAACGAATTCCAGGCTCTGTAGGGCGTCCATGTCGGCCAAAAGTAGTGCGAAGTGTTCGAAAAGTATTTTTTATATTTCGACCGTTTTTGTAATAAGTTTGGATAATCAAAATGCGCTGTTGTGTTGTAACCGAATCCATGGCTATAAATGGCATACCTTTGACAGTTCATTTATGCATACCACATGACTTTTGACTCACATGGTAACACATAAACTTATAGGTAAGAAAAAGTAATAGATGGCGCACCCAGTATTTTCATATCCCCTCGAGATATGGGTATTCTCTAAATTGTTTTCTTCAAATCAATCTTGTTTTTTTTAGTTTATTTAAGTTTGCAGGCATGTTTTAGCGTCTGATAATGTATCGCTCTATCAGTTAAAAAATGTGTAATCAGTTTTACACTCTTTTTGTAACTCGGCCCGGGTCTAATCTTCTTTGTTTAATGAATCATATATCTTGTGTTGGACGAGATAATTATGCGGCTATTATATTCAGTAAGCAAATTTCTATAAATTTTTCTAACGCGTCGTCTCGGACTTCGAGTATTCATATTTCTGGAACCAGTATTCAATTTACACCAGTTAAAATGTACAGACTAATACCAATCAAAAGCATTTTGGATCCAGGCACAAACGAGTGCTAACGTTTAATTCATCGATGATACGTTTAAAGATGTCAGTCGCTCTATTTCTCGTGCTTTCTCTTTCCCTCTCTCTCTTTCTGTCTCACGTGTCACTACTTGCTCTGCATCTGCCTAGTCTGGGGAAGCTCGTGTTAGCGGTAACAAAATAAATCTAAGCTCCTCGAAACACGGGTGTTGTAAATTCTCCTATCCTCGATCACAGTTATTTTTAGTGGAAAAAAGTTTTCCAAAGAAGAAAAGAGCCAACTGTTCTAGTGCTTAATTTTAAAAACCTTAATAGGTTTGTCAATTTTGCCACAACAATCAACTATTCCAATCTTCAACAAGAAAGTGTTAGAAGACATATCGAAAACAAACTATTTACAAGCAAACAGAATCAGAGTTTAAATTTAGCGTGTTTCCGAAGAAAGAAACCTATTTCAGCTTTTAATTAGGTATTCTATACACGTTTACAGGTTTGTGAATGTTTCCACAAGAATCAAACTATGCCAAAGGAAATGATCCAAAGATATTGATATTGATATTGATGAGTCGAGTCGAACGTGTCGAACGAGTCGAACGTGTGTGTTGTATTACTCCTGTTGAAGTGCATGTTTGTGAGGTACAACAGCATTGCAAATTACCAATCTTGCATCAAATCCATAGCAGACACTACCAACTACACTACCTACAAAAAAAACAGGTATTTTAGCATGTAAGAACAAAATAGTAGATGCAAACGCACGTGCACAACAATATCGCAAAAAGAAATAATAGTAATAGACCAGTAGACTCACGCACAATTTCGAGGAGCGTTATGATTGAAGAAGTTAATGATATCTCAAATAAACAAATCTACGACCTACTGCACAGTATATTAGCAAAAAATACTCAAATAGAGCAAGATATCCATAACAATAAAGAAGAGATCAAGAAGGAAATCCAAATTTTAAGACAAGACATCACGACAGAGCTATATAACCTAGAAAGAGAAAACAAAAAGTTAAAAGAAAAAATCGACAAGTTAGAAGAAGAACTGAATAGTACAGAACGCCAAGTGAAAAAGTATAACGTAATATTTTATGGAGTGAAAGAAGCTGGAGATACAGTTACTGACTTGGACAGTATTTTGAAAATATTCAATGAAAAGCTGGAAGTTAAATGTAGCCTTGCTGATTTCCGGGATATACACAGAATAGGGAGGAAGCAAGAAAACAAAATCAGACCGGTTGTCGCCGAAGTAATAAATTATCAACTAAAGAAAGTAAGCCTGGAGAATTCGAAGAAGCTGAAAGATACTGGAATATATTTAAGTTTGGATTACACAAAACAAGATTATCAACAAAGAAAAATATTGTATACAAACTTGAAGGTGGCTAAAAGTGCTGGACTGGAAGCGAAAATACACAACCATACACTTCACATAGGAGAGGACATCTTTACTTCTGACGATTTATCACAGGGGACTCCCGATGTTTTAACGGCGGCAATTCTGAAGCTGAATGTAGAACCTCAAAATACAGGAGAAAATTCAAGAAACTCTTTGAAAAGAAAAAACATTGTCGAGGAAAAACCCAAGAGATCCACCAGAATCAAGAGCACCAGTAAATAAAGAAATATTATTTTTATCCATCACGAGTATATTTTACTAATACCGGTTGTTCTTCAGCTCATTGATAGCCCAATCTTTTGAATGTTTCAATTTTGTCATTTTGGTATATTTTTGACACTTTCAGCATGTACCGATTATTTATACTACTTATAGAATATATGGTATTTATTTACTTTTCATCCATTGCCAAATGTAAGCATTAACCGTTGATCTCAATTTTGTCCTTATTACCAGTGTGTGACTGTTAAATCTAAACAGTAAACAAGTTTTTATGGTACTATTCTCATCTCATCGCCTTCCTATACCTAGTTTTATTGATTTATTATTCTGTTCTGTTTATCCGGGTGTTTTTATTAGTATTGCATATAATTGTTGCGTTGTCTTTATTCTGTATAGATCTAATATATTTATCATGTGGTTATACTCATTTTACTGGCAAAATACGTTGGGTGCTCTTTAAGAATAAGCCTTCGCCAGATGTTTTCAATATGTCTAGACGTCTAAAATTCATGAGCTTCAACGTAAGGTCAATTCAGTCTGGTTTTCTAACTTTGAAGGAGTATGTTGTTGACTGTGCTGTCGATGTCCTGGGTCTCAGTGAGACTTGGCTAACCCCAGATATTGATTCCTCCTCAGTATTTATCAACGACTTCAATGTCGTTAGAGCAGATCGAAATAGCAGAGGCGGGGGCGTCGCGTTTTATGTGAGAAATGGTATTGCGTTCAAAATATTGCACTCTAATATCACCGCAGTATTGGAAGAACTTTGGATCTCTGTAAAGGTTAATCAACGCAAATATTGTCTAGCTATAGTCTACCGTCCACCATCGGCAAATGTGCTTGACTGTTTTCATCAATTAACTGAGTCTTTAACCAACCTTTCACTCGATAATGATTACGCAATTGTCATGGGCGATTTTAATATTAATGTTTTAGTGAACGACGGCCGATCCGAGATGCTGAACTGTTTTCTTGAGTCTTTTGATCTGTCTCAGTTAGTGAAAGAGCCCACACGTATAACTTCCAATAGCCAGACAGCTATAGACTTGCTCATGGTTAGCTCTGCTGATATAATAAGTGGTTATGAAGTTGTTGACGTAGATGGAATATCTGACCATCTAGCCCTAATATTTTATGTAGATGCATCGGAGATAAGCAACCTATGTAAACTGAGGACATATCGTGATTACTCTACCTTTAGCCTAGACAATTTCTACCATGATTTACTTTTAATAAACTGGGATTTTATATATACGTTGAGAGATGTGGATCAAATGATTGACTTCCTGAGCTCTAATATCTTGTGCACCTTCAACTTGCATGCTCCTGTCAGAAACATTCGAGTTACCAAGCCACCAGCTCCTTGGCGAACATTCAACATAAAACTCATGATGCGAACAAAAAGTGACGCATATAAAAAATTTAAACGTACAGGAACGATTGCTGCCTGGGAATTCTATAAGAAAATCAGAAATTATGTTTCTAGTGCTATTAGGCGAGAGAAAAAAGCCTACCTCGATTATGTTATGAGACATAAAAATTCGAAGACTACATGGAATATACTTAGATCTTTGAATATCATTAAACATAACTCCATAAGTCTACCTCCACATCTTCAGGATCTCGATTCATTAAATAGTGCTTTTTTAAACGTACCTCAAACAACCAAATCATTAACTCAATTGAACCTTTTAGACAAATATGAAAACGTCAAGAATAGTGGTACTTTTCTGTTCACGACAGTTTCCCCTGCCACTGTAGAGAAATTTATTAATCGCATCAAAAGTCATGCTAAAGGCTCAGATGGCATCACAATTGATATGATCCGTATAATACAAAAGCATTTGCTCAAGTATATTACCTTCATTATTAACTTTTGTATAACAAATAATCTTTATCCCTCTTCCTGGAAGAATGCTCTTGTTCTCCCTCTGCCTAAATCTAATTATCCTTCAAGTTTTTCTGATCTTCGTCCTATAAGCATTTTACCAAGTTTATCTAAGCTTTTGGAAATGGCTCTACATGAGCAGCTGCACACATTTGTTTGTCAAAATAATTTACTGACCACCTCCCAATCTGGCTTCAGACCATTACATAGCACCACCACTGCGCTCCTGTCTATATCGGATAATATTTATAGCGCGGTTGATCAAGGAAAGCTGTCCTGCTTAGTTCTTCTTGATTTTAGCAAGGCCTTCGATACGGTTGACCCAAATATTCTCTGTAAAAAGCTTAGATACTTTGGCCTGTCATCATCGGCTTACACGCTGATTAAGAGCTTTTTAACTGATCGCTCACAGTCTGTCATATATGAAAACAATATATCAACTTCTTTATTCAGAAATTTTGGTGTCCCTCAAGGATCTATTTTGAGTCCCCTTTTATTTGCTCTTTATATATGTGATTTTCATGAAACCGCCAGCAACTCAATCGTTCATCATTACGCCGATGATACCCAACTTTATAACTGCTTCGATCCTGATGAATATATGCTTGGCCAACATCAAATAAATCAAGACCTGCAGTCTATTTTTGACATATCTAGTGCTCACAATCTAAAACTAAATCCTGGCAAATCATGCTGCATTTTATTTGGGCCCAAAAAGAATCGTGAAATAAATCAATATCGCATTAATATTATGGTGAATAATGAAGACATATCCTTCGTAAACGAATGCAAAAACCTTGGTATCTGGTTTGACTGCAAGCTACGCTTCACTAAACATGTTAACCAACTATGCAATGCGTCCTATAATGTGCTTCGTCAGTTATACCCGAGTCGAAGTGTCCTGTCGACACAGCTCAAGCTTAAACTCTGCGAGTCCCTTATCCTGTCAAAATTATCGTACGGTGACTCTGTTTATGGACCTGCTCTTTTACAACGTGATGCCGAGCGGATTCAGATGATACAAAACTCATGCATCAGATTTTCTTATGGAATCCGTAAATTTGATCATATTAGTAGCGCTTTTGACCAATCGGGATGGTTTAAGATGAACAAATTGAGGAAACTGCATTGCCTATCTTTGGTACATAAGACCCTTATCCTTAAAGCGCCATATTATCTTTATACAAAACTAAGCCTCCTCTGTCAGTACGATCAAAGATCCTCTAGGAATAAACTCATCTTACTTATCCCGCGGCATTCGACAGCATTGTTCACACGCAGTTTCTCGTACTGGGCACCCAAACTATATAACTGCTTATCAAGTGAGTATAAAGAATATAGCCTAAGCAATTTTAAAAAAAGGTTAAAGATGAGTTTAAAGCAGTCGGATGGCTAAAATTTTACTTTATGCATATCCACAGGTAATTGATTGTTTCCTTTCTCTGATAAGTGTTATATTCTAAGTTTTTTTTTCTCTCTCTCTCTATAGTTTGTGTCAATGTTTTCCAGGTCGGGTTGAAAAACAGCATAAGCTGACACTCCACCTTTTCGTCACTGTTCCTTTTAAATCAATTATTTTGTAATCGTGTGACGAATAAAGGCCATTTATTATTATTATTATTATTATTATATACAAAACAGGATACGAGTATCCACAAACAAACCCAATCAGATATTAGATTCACTGGTTTTTATATTAATCTTTCCATGTCTACGTGTTTTACTTCCCACGCCAATTGGCGAGGAAATTGAAGTTGTGTTTTTTAAATTTTGTTTGATTTTTGGGAATTTGGAAATCCCATCAATTCAGGGCACAGACCCCGTGTGCCCAAAGAGTGGAGACTGAATAGCATAAAATTGGTGCCTGATCCTTTGCATATAGCTGAGAGATATTAGGTCTTGGACTTAAAGCAAATGGTTGTTTGATTTGAGACTTCATCTAATCTAAACACTCAGTTGTCACAATCACCATAATCTTCTTTGTTATGTCAAGATGTGAAAAGATCACACACTAAGGCGATTCAGCACTGTCCTAGGTATGCAGGGAATCTGCACACTTTTCATATTCTGTTCTAGCCCGGTTAAGCTTAGACCAGAGACATCTAGCCATATCATATCCAGGGAAGCCTTGGATCATTAAGCTAGATTAAGAAATCTTAAGACGCATGCATCCAGGCTGCGTACCACTCGGTAGCGATGTAGAAGCTTTAACCAATTTCCGTGGCGCTTCATACTGCTAGATATCTGGATTTAAGCCGATGGTATTCCTCTGTTAAACTTGGTATATCCATGTGAATCGGTAAGTATTCGTCATCCAAAATCGTGTTTTATTCTCTCATTAAGGCTGCGGTCCTGCGGATATTAGGTGGTGCTACGTGACTAAGCACCGGTTGCCAATGGATTGGTGTTGATCGAATGGTTCCAGTGATCATTCTCATAGCTTTTGTTTACGCAAGCTTCACGCTATCCATTGAACTCAGCTCCTTCATTAGTAGATGCTTAAGATATGGTTTCAGGCCGTAGAATTGCCCCTCCTATACTAATGTAACTCTAATCCACGTTTACTTTCACACTGGTCATTTATGTCAGTGCTGCATACGAACAAGTAGGGGACAAACTTTGACATTCTAGATCATAATTAATGTTTCAGGCTTCTATTACGCTCACATCGCGTACGCACATGCAGACTGTATAATAATGGTGAAACGATATCTGTAACCAATTATTTTGAAACATGACCCGGAAATATAAGCGTGTCAAACTAGTCAGATATTTAATAATAATGCTTTATATCGTTTTTGAGCTAAATCGCCAGGCATTTTATCGACAAAGGAGAAAATATACAAATCATTCCCACAATAGTTCTTAGATGCAGCTGCTTACCTATTAATGTTGTGGTTGAAACTGTTGTAGGACGAGAGCATTATAATCGTTCCAAATCCCACATTTAGAGAGAAGAAGCACTGGGTTACAGCTGCGTACCATACCTGCAGAAAAGCATAACTAAATGTATCCAGAAAATCAATAGTTACCGCTATTAGAGGGTTTGATAACCGCAAATAAAGCATTTATACACATCAACATTCGCCTTATACATCACATTTAAGCAAGCATCAGTTGTTGTGTAATAAATGCCAAATCAGCTTGACATTGGTTATTTTCTTTTAAGGTATTTGAGATTTTTTATACTTCGCACGTCACGCGGACTCTATCGTGAGAACACGTGTGCTGTGACAAGCTCATATTCCCCCGGCTAAGAGATCAGTCGGGTGGGGCCTCCCAGTGTTACCAGACCTAGGAAAATTTCCCCGTATCTAGGAAATTACGAGCTAGCTTAGGGAAAAGGGAAATTTATTTAAATTTGTATAAAATCTAGAGAATTTTAAACTCTGTAAGACAATTTTAAGCAGCAGGGACAAAAAATAAACGAAAGATAGAGAACAAACTGGAAAACAAATATATTACTTTTAAAATACCTTCCGATTGTACCTATAAAATATGATTCAAAATATATTAAAATGTACGAACACCAAATTGTGTCAACAAACCGGTCGGAAATCATAACTCATAACATTCGGTGAATCACTAAACGAAACGCTGTGGTTCCCCGTCGGTGAATACCAGAACGGTATTTTACATACGGGGAAATACCTGGGCTATAATACAATATATAAACCGCCGGGTGGTTTCTGTTGCATTTCCTGCTGTTTATATGTAATTGTATGGATTGTGCCCTGTGGTAACTGTGCCTTAGAATAACAACTGTTTTTAGTTTGTGCTATAAAATTACGAATAATCATTAAGGTTTTTCGACATTGAACTTATTTGCCATAGGTAAGTACCTATTTATTTATTATAAAATATTTGCTTTTCCAATTATTATACTTGATCAGGAAGATTCTTAAGAGTTTACTCAGAAATTAATTATCTAGTATTAAAGTTAATGAAAAAATATTTCTATGAATGAATGGAATATTGATATCTTAGACATACTATAATATGTATATCTATGATCTATGTATTTTAAACCAAACTTCTAACTTTGTTTGCGATTGTCTCTTTATAATTAAATATGTAACATCATGTCCTCAATTACACCTTAACCATCAACTTCTAAACTGAATTGGAATCCTCACCGTCTTCTTCTGAAGAAGCTGGGCACATAAGAAAAAATAAAAAATCATAAAGTTATATACAAGAATTACGCACAAGAATTTATTCTTCTGTGGGTAAATTCATTTTATTTACGTATACCTATATTAGTTTTAGTTATATTTGTATGTAACGTGAATAAACTTATTATTATTATTTTTATTATTATTATTATTATTACTATTATTATTAATATTATTATTATTATTATTATTATTATTATTATTATTATTATTATTATACTCAGAAATATACCGCTGCATGGAAACAAGAGCCTGAATTTAAAGGTTGGCCGAGGAGCAGCAAGAAAGGGTCCAATTATGAATTCTGCAAGGCATGCAATAAAGATTTTATATGTGGCAAATCCAAAATCCAGAAACATTCTTCAGGAAAACAACACTCAAATTGGTAAAATCATTACACACCAAAAAACTTTGATATGACATCTTAAATGGGAAAAATATCTTTAAATAATAAAATCAAAACTGCTGAAATTCGAGTTGCAGCATATGCAGCTGAACATAACATTTCATTTAATACTTTAGACCACTTATCAGTAATTATTAGAATATCATTTGGCGATTCAGAGATTGCTAAAAATTTCACATGTTCCCGCACCAAAGCTACAGCTATTGTCAATAATGTTTTAGGGCAGTACAGTTTTGAAAATTCTACTAATTTATTACAAACAAATAAATTTTCATTAATTGCTAATGAATCTACCGATAAAGGTGCAATTAAACATTTAGCTTTAGCGGTACGTATTTTTTATGAACATAAAATTACTGACTTGTTCTTTGGTCTATTGCCTGTAGTAGATGTAACGGCAGAAGGACATTACAACACTATTGTAAATTATTTTTTAAAATGTAATATTAATTATAAAGAAAATCTAATAGGCTTTGCTTCAGATGGTGCAAATGCTAGAATGGGAATTCATGAATCATTATCCACCAAACTAAAAGCCGATATTCCTAATTTATTCATTATGCAATGTGTCTGTCATTCATTTAGTTTATGTGTTAATTATGCTTGTACTAAATTACCAGATGAGATTGAACTAATGGCTAGAGATGTTCATACGTATCTACAATGCAGTTTTAAAAGACAAACTGAATTTGCAGAATTTCAGGAGTTTGTAGCAGTAAAACCTAATAAAATGTTACAACCCTCTCAAACAAGGTGGTTGTCTGTATTGCCTGTTGTAAAAAGAATACTTGAGCAATATGATGCTTTAAAATTATATTTTACAGATCAGTGCTACAATAAAAATGGCATTCAAGCACAAAATATCTTAAATTTTCTTCAAAATCCATCTACTATATTGTATTTACATTTTTTAAGCTTTGTGCTGCCGTTTTTTATGGAATTAAACTTATAAATGCAATCCGAAAATATTAAAATACACATTTTATATAAACGAGTTGAACATGTGTTAAGAACAATTTTGGGTTGTTACATGAAAAAGGATTATTTATGCAACTTTATTAACTTTCACTACGTACTGAATATCAGTGAAATATCTGAAGCGGGAAACATTTTTGGACCATAGTTTATAAAGCAAACTGACATTAATTTTTCATGTAGATTCACACCCTTAAATATTCGCATATCAGTAAGGAACATCCTGTACCACCAACAGACTTGCTTGGAGCTCACGTGAACGAAAATACACCTGATTGTGTACGCTATGTGTACCTATGATATACTTTTATCGGCACATTCTTTTTCGTTCCGAACTTATTATCCCAATAGCATTAAGGACTTCTTATATTCAGGACCACTGAATTCGATACAACGTCCCAATTCAATGCGACATTGTTACTGAACTGAACGTGAGTAGGATGTTGAATATAAAGACCAATTTCCTAATTTTCTTTATAGCTCCTCTGACAACGATTGGCTTTACGAAAATGTAATAAAAATCTGAGATACTTCAACATTCATAAAATGCATGGGCAGGAAATATTTTCAATAAAATTCTGGAAATCGATATTTATTCCGTTTCCGTGTTTACTACTTCAGCTTTATAGCATTTTGCGAATTGGGAATGAGGGGACACCGATCTAAGTGGAAACATGTCATGGAGTTAATCACTACTGTTATTATTTAATCTGAACATAACTTTTTTAAATATCTAAAGGTATGTGAAAAACTTGATTGTAGGTCAGGATTACCTAGTAAAGCAGGGGCGGACTTACCATAAGGACTAGGACCTAGGACCCTTTGTGAATTGGGGTGCTTTAAAACTGGAACGAACAGACCTTTGGTGATAGAGCATTTGTTAGGGTACCGCATGTAAGAGTCTCTGTCTAAAAGCTTCTCAGCTCCGTACTGAGAAACACTGTATTATTTTTTCTGCTCGCTTTGTAATCGATTTGTGTCTAAAATTTTGTGTATGATTTTTCCATAGGTGCTAGCCTCTGCAATTTTAATCTTGTTTTTCTTCTAGTTTTAAGGGTAATAACATAAATATTTATTTTGAGATGTTTCTCAAAATACAGGCTATTTCAGAACTAAAGGATCAAACTTCTAGAGATTTTCAGTGTAACAGTAGAAAACGTTTGAGTATAGGGACCCATATCCGGAAAAGCGTCACTACGGCACTACGGCCCTAAGACGCGTTTTGGCACCGTTGGATTGCCAGAGGTAGAGCAGTTTCTTGGCCTCCTAGATCACACGATTTACTGTCGCTAGATTTTTTCCTGTGGGGATATGTGAAGCCTTTGGTTTCCGAAACTTCAGTAGAAACAGAGCAAGACTTAATTGGAGGAATTACAGCAGCATTTGAAACCATTCAAAACGAGTATCAAATTTTTAGTCAAGTCCGCCGAAATCATGTGCGATGTTTAAATCGGTGTATTCAGGTTGGAGTAAGACATTTTGAACAATTGTTGTAATGATATCATGAACAAAAGGCAAAAATTAAATGCATTAATGTCTATTTAGGCAATTCATCGTCTTTCTAAATTTTAACGCGTCTTAGGCCCGTAGTGCCGTAGTGACAAATTTCCGGATATGGGTCCCTATACTCACCCTGTATATGGAGAAAACGTTACTTTACCTTTTAAATACAGGATAATATGTCATATACATGCTACTTTTTTTGTCAACTGTCAAATAATGATTTTAATACCGTCGCTTCAAAAATACTCAAAAATACATGACATTATTTTCCAGTACAAGAGTAAAATTTCCGTAGGTACTTTATTCAAAAAACCACTCTTATGCTAATTTCAAGCACTTTAAGAGGTAAACAATATTTTTGTACTGTTTCCGTTCGAGCTATCAATTCGAGGAGTCCAAGAAGATCGATAAGAGTTTTATTATTTACCAGTTGAAAATATTAAACCCAGTAAAGCACGGAAACGTTGCCTGTGCCAGGGCAAAGTTTTTCATGTGGCCCACTATTTCGAAATTCTGGAAAAATCACATGAAAGTTGTATATTTGGAAATTGGTTAGGTTTAGGATTTTGAAAACATCAAAGTATGACATATCACCCTAATAATTTTTTTGTCTAACCCCACATGCGCCCCCCCCCCTTCCAAGCCATTTGGACCCCACCAGAATGCAGTTTCTATATACGCCATAGATGCATGCAGAAATGTGCATGTGGGTAAAATATGTGATTCAAGTCCTTCTCACTTATCCCATGTGCCACCCATCTCAAAGATGCTAATCTGAACTTCCAGATATGGTCCGAAATGGCGTTTTGAGCTGAATTGAGCTTATCCACGATACCTGGTGTTAGTGATTTTGCTTTAGCAAGTTCCTTTCAGTATGGTCCCCGATTGAAGAATATCGCTTCCAGAATGGCTTACCAGAAGATTCACCGTTTGAAATTGTTTTTCTTTTTCTGCAAGAAGGTCCACTAAACACTTTTAATAAATTTCCGCACGTTTTCGAAGCATTTCTTTCTTGTTGGAATCTGTACAAAATACAATCGTTATCGTTACAGTTCATTTCTAAGTTCCGCATTCATTGGTAGAAAGTGTAAGCTAGATATCTGTGTAATGAATATGCGAATTCCCATTGAAAATTGTTAATATTGAAACAGACAGAGCTTTACGCTAACATTTTGAATGCAACAGGGTTTCCCTGAAAGCTGGAACTTTCCTTTCTAGAGACAACTACGTTTTCAATACCAAAGCTAATTTGCGACAAAATAACACCGAAAACGTAAAAAAGAAATTGAATATAAATCACTATTCATTATATAAGGAATTTCGAGTACTGCCCTGATATATGTTTTGTTTGTGAAAACTACTTGAAGTTGTCACTGTTGAACTTCAAAACACGAGCTTGTTTGCCTCTTCCTATATTTTCTATATTTGGGGCTGATAACTACGTTATTCTTCTAGGTATGTTCCAATTTCGGTTTTTCAAGCGCGGCTTGTTTATAAACTAGATTAATCTAGACAGCATGCGACGCCTGGTTTGGATACTGACTCACATACTCTTAGTACATCATACGTCCTGATATTGAAGTGGATCGTGGGAGAGGAGGATATCAGTGTCGTACTGGTTTATTTATAGCATTTTGGAGCCTAATATCTGGGTTATCTTAAAGCTTTATTATACAGGGTGACTTTGAAGTTGAGTCATTAATTTTCAGATAATGATTGTAGAAGGAAGATAAACCAAAATATGTGTGTCAAAATAAAAAAAAATAAAAAAAAATGTTTACCTTGTTTATAAAGTATCCTCCCGACAAGTATTTCAGTGCTGTCCTGTATTTGATCGTGAGGTCTTGGAGCACCGGCATGCCGTCCATATGTGAGGTCTTAAGTCACCTGATTCACGAACCCGTTGTACTACATTAACAAAGGCACAAGGGGTTGGTTGCACTCGATTGAGAAACCGATCCGCATAAACATGTGCCATTTTTTATTTTGTTTGAGCCACGCAACAGTTACACCACTATTCACTACCGACTGACACTGACTGTATACAGCTGAATGAAATAATTGCAAAAACATCGTTCCAAATTCTTTCGCGTTTTTGTTTCCGATGCGATGAACCGATAAGGCGGATTATATCCGTTGTCGCCAAACACGAGCACATAATATTATTATTGAGACAGGGCGGTACTCAAACTTCCAAAGGGCTATAACTTTGTTACTTTAATTTTACCAGAAAAATGGTAAAGGAAAAACATTTCTTTTGATCAGATCTACTCACTGTTAAAATAAATGACTCAACTTCGAAGTCATATATATGTATATATGTTACTTAAAAGTAAATGCAAAATTCCAACGTTGAGGCTTCACTGTATAAAGAACCTTAAATATAACATAATTCCTTCGTTTTCGGAACACATCACAGAGATAACCCCTTTTTAATGAAGAAGTTCTATTCACTTGAAACTATAAGTTAGTTCATTCCAGATATCCCCGACCTCAAGTCAAGGT